CAGATCATCGGCCCACGGGATCGGCCGCCCTCGTGTAAGATCGAGTTTGGCCACTTGCTGGTCCGACCCATCTAGATCTCTTCCGATGCCGTATCTTTTTCTCTCGTGCTGTTACTATCCCAACTCTTCCTTTCTCAACCGTGCCAATCTCAAGATGATCCAATCTCTGGACAAGACAATCTTCGGCTATGACAGACGAAGATTCTTCGAGGCGACTGATCGTCTGCACTAGTTCTCCGCTGCACGAGTGATCATTCGCAAGAGGGTTCCACCGATCTCTCGCTCCTCTGATCTCTCGCTCCTCTGATCTCTCGCTCCTCTGATCTCTCGCTCCTCTGATCTCTCGCTCCTCTGATCTCTCGCTCCTCTGATCTCTCGCTCCTCTGATCTCTCGCTCCTCTGATCTCTCGCTCCTCTGATCTCTCGCTCCTCTGATCTCTCGCTCCTCTGATCTCTCGCTCCTCTGATCTCTCGCTCCTCTGATCTCTCGCTCCTCTGATCTCTCGCTCCTCTGATCTCTCGCTCCTCTGATCTCGTCTCTCCCTTCGTCTGCTGCTTCAGACGCGCACAGCTTGCCCGACAACTGCGACGACGATCAGGTTCCTTAGCCGCGTCGCTCTCGTGACTGACAGCCTGCCAGGGCATGGCGATGCTGACGCTAGCAGAGGTGAACCAGACGCGGCGAAGGAGGCGTGTAGCTAAGGAGAAGAGGAGGCGTGTAGCTAAGGAGAAGAGGAGGCGTGTAGCAAAGGAGAAGAGGAGGCGTGTAGCTAAGGAGAAGAGGAGGCGTGTAGCTAAGGAGAAGAGGAGGCGTGTAGCTGAAGCTCGAATAGGATTTGAAGGCAGTGCTCCACACCATTCTGGAGAAAGCGAAGAAGAGGGTTGAGGAGGATGAGTCGCTTGCTCCGTTGATCTCACGGTGAGGAAGCTGACGGCTTGCCGCTGTCTTGTGCTGCTGGTCTGACTCAGGGCAGAGTCTTGCTGGAGCTCGCCAGGACCTTTGAGAGCGAGAGGTCGACGAAACATTTCTGCATGGAGGTGCCGCCTGGTTGTTCTCTTGCTGCTCTCAGGTGGAGCAGATGAAGCTGAGCTCCATCAAGGCGGAATGGTTCAGCAAAGCTACCTTTGAGGTCTCCTCTCCTTGCGCTTTCTCGTTCTTACATGTCCTGCTGCAGATGCTTGATCGCTCAGCTGCTACTCGAGCTGAAGTAGAGCAGCCGATGATGCTCAGTGAAGCCCTCATGATTTACGGGTGAGTAATCGTTGATGATGGGGATGATAATGATGGTAGTGATAATGTTTTATTCTTGTTGATGATGAAGTTGATGGAGATGATTATGATTGTTCTGAAACACATTTGTCGTGCTGTTTACTGGCATCTCTTTTCAGCTCCAACGTTGCATGGGATATTCTCTCGCTCACAAGCAGCATCAATCACGACTACATGCTGTTGCTCATCTACGGCAACAGATTGCGCTGGACAGAATTCGAGGATATCGTCTCATTGGTCTCTTGATGCGAGGAAGCGGGGGGGGGAGGGGGAGGGGGAGGGGGAGGGGGAGGGGGGGAGATGATTTGCGACTCACAAGCTCGTGACAGGGTGAGCGTGCCATTCGAAGAGCACAAGAAATTGTGAGGAGTCAGAGAAGAACACAAGCTTGGGACCTCTGCTATGCCAGATCGCTCATGGTGCGGAGATTCTGACCCTGCAGCAGCTGCTCTGCTTGGTTCTAACGCATGTGCAGGCCATGGGAAGGTGCCACTACGTCAAGGCTGCCTACCTCGCTGACTCCGAAGAAGCATGGTGCTCTGCTTCCTCCTCTCGCTTATCTCACCCTCTAGCAGTCGGTGGTATGACAGCGCGACTTCTCTCTTCGAGCAGGCGCACCAGCTCATCTGCCAGGCGCGTCGCTTGTCTCCTCCTCTCGCTCACCTCTTCTCCTGCAGGTCGGCCACGAGGAGCTCAAGGCTGATTGTGCCATCGACCTCGGAGTTTGCCTGGGCAACAGGTGGGCTCGTTCCGCCCTCTTTCATCACCTCCTTCCCCAGCTCATACTTGACTCAAAGGCGGCGCTTCATTGAGGACACGGCGGAGGCGAGGAGGAGGGCGCACGGCTGGTACCTGCAGGCGTTCGAGACGAGGAGGAGGCTCCTGCCGGCAGGACACCCGCAGATCAAGCGAGCCAAGGCAGGATGCGACGCCCACGCAGCAGATGCTGAGGAATTGAATGAAAGCCAAGCCTAGAAACATGGAGGGGAGGGAGGGAGGGGAGGGAGGGAGGGAGGGAGGGAGGGGAGGAGGGAGGGAGGGAGGGAGGGAGGGAGGGA